TTCAATCTCTCTGCGTATGAACACCGATTCAACCCCCTGTCCATTTTGATGGCCATCCTTTGTGGACGCTCCAGCATTTTGCAATCGCGTTGTAGCCATGGATTCCATGTCTGGATGATGTACTCTGTGAGTGGACGAATGTATGCTGCTGGTAGACGTGGGAAAAGCGCTGACTCAAGCCGGCCAAAGACCCGCCTAAGCAAACCGACATTCTTTACAACTGCTTTCGATACCTTGGTGCAGTTGAGTGAGCATCTTAAGTTTTCTTGAGTAATAATGACCAGTTTCTTCTCACTTGCGGCGTGTGGCAGTTGTTCATTTCCGAGGATATAAGAAAATCGCTCCTTGTATCGTAGAGATATTACCTTCCACTTTGGTACATTGAGTTCAATGTCGTTCATAGTGGACCACAGATGAGCTGCTTTCAATGTTTCCTGGAGTGCCAAGTAGGTGATTTTGCTCCGGTTGATGTCTCAGTGGGGGGAAATGACGGAGCAGTAGTACATTCACGTAAACGGGCTTGCACCTTCCTTCAGCCAATGCCTTGCGGTTAGGTTCTTGATAGAACTGAAGGGTTTGGTTGAGTGGGTGAACTCCCTGGTAGTACACATCTATCACGCACCAATGAAAGCACAATCTATTTAGAATTCCATACGGCATCAATCGTCGCGCAGGATAATCAAGACCGCATTGTTCTTTGCGTTGAGCGGCCTTAGTAGTGGGCCACGGTTCAGACAGTCCACCTTTGATTCAATTTATTATTTTTTATACTCAACCTCTCTCTATGTCTTTTTCCAACCCATAAGACACCATCCTAAAACTGGTTTGCCACTCTCCAAGGCTCATTGCCAAGCGGTGCTGTAAGTAGTACATCATAGACCCGATTGCCGATTCTGAGGCCTCATCAATCACCTGATCTGAAGCCTCCAAAGTACGGACTCTGATACACATGTGCCAACCAGCTTATCTGGCGCGTACAATTAACTGTTTGGAAGTTGATGACCGGTGAAGGCCACCTGAGTGCTCCGGTTTTATTCTCGTAATACGTCCGTCGCACATCAAGAGATGATGAGGACTGTTCACGGGTTCAGTGTACAGTAACAATCGTACGTAAGCTGAGGACTTACTAACAGAATGGATATTCTTTAATAACGGTTCGTGCTTAAGGAGATTCCAGAGTTCAGTTAATGTTCGTAAGAGGAGCGAAACTAAAGGCGATTGTTATTGATCATTTCTGCATATACACCAACCAACCAAGTACAATCTCAATTCACAAAAGGACGAATTTTACGACGAATTCACCGAACTCCTTGTGTTGAGCCACAACCTTGGCATCATAGTACTCGCAGTTGATTTTACCGCTCAGGTTGGAAAACTGAGCGCATCTGAAACCTGTCTATTAGCCCCGGTCAGTGCACAAACAACGGCGATCGATTACTTCAGTTCTGAATAGATTATCGGTTTTTCTTGTCTAGCATCAGATGTCGAGACAGCTATACCTTTTCAACTTCAAGTATCAGCATACATTTGACCACACACGGAGTATCCCATACAGGCTTGGAATCCATGGTTGATTCACGACCAAAAGGCACTTGAACGTCCGCTGAGAACAGCAACCAAAATGGTCAAAGGGGTACAATCTAAGACCTACGGTGAAAGACTGCGAATTCTCGGACTCTACTCGTCTGAATACCATCGAATACCGGTAGACATGATCCTCGTTTATCAAATACTACATCAACCAAACCACTCGTGTAGTACTCTAGTGACGCTATCCAGGAATGGTCACCTCCGAGGACATCTGTTCAAACTTCTGCTCCAAAAGAGTCAGCGTCATTCGTTCAGCCTCAGAGTTTGTAACACCTGGAACTCCCTTCCACCTCAAGTTGTTGGTGCACCAACCGTCGATTCATTCCAGTTACGACTGGATGAAGCATTGAACCACATAACTTTTCAGTACCCTTGAATGAGTGTCAGAATTTGCATTTCATTTGTACTACCAACCGAACCCAGTGTGTACAGACCCTATGGGATT